AGCCCTAGCATAAACCATTCAAAAGTTATGGCCAAGACTAATGTTTTTCAAAAGTAGGTCAAACTCCTACGTCAAGGTCAAAAGGTCAAAGTGGTTGGTATCCAAAGGAAGGTCTTGTCACAAGGATTACATATGTGAAGTATGAAAGCCCTAGCTTTTACCGTTCAAAAGTTATGGCCAAGGTTAAAGTTTTTCAAAAGTAGGTCAAACTCCTAGGTCAAGGTCAAAGGGTCAAAGGGGTTGATATCCAGAGGAAGATCTTGTCAAAGGAATACACATGTGAAATATGAAAGTCATAGCTCCAACCAATCAAAAGTTATGGGCAAGATTAAAGTTGACAACAGCCAGACAGACAAACAGATAAACAGACAAACAGACAGACAGGACAAAAACAATATACCCCCGGAATCTTTCGATTCGGTGGCATAATAAGATAAAAGAAACGGTTAAAATTAAAACCAGTCAGTAAACGTACTGGCTTTTACGAAGTTTGACAAGCAACAAAACAACAATGAAAATGAAGGTTTATGATATCAAAGATAGCATTATCATAATATTTCATACAAAATTTCCATTTACTACATAAGTATTTCCCTATCACCCATTATAGAGAGTACCACCGTCAATTCCACAGAAAATTATTACTTTTCATTTTGTGAATTTCCCCCAGCTTCTTGGATACTCCAGTTGATTTGATTCCTATGCTTGTAACTTAATAAGTGAACAAAATAATCGTAGATATTGATAGTGCCCGATTAAATTTCTGCATCCGCCACGGTTTGCTGCCAATGAACAAAGTACTCTTAGATAGTATACTTTGTTCAGTGGAAAGCAAACCGTGGTGGATGCAGAAATTTAATCGAGCACTATCGATTCTACGATTATTTTGTTTCTCAGTTTACTTGGTTATTTTAAAAGAAACTTGTTAAATTCAATACGAGGGTTGTCCCAGAAGAACGCGAACTTTTTAAATATTTCATAAACTACCTGACCAAAACTATTCAATTTTGGCATGATGTTGGGAAAATGATATTTTTGTCATTTTGGCTACATAATATAAGGTTCCAACGCAACATTTAAGGGGGCCGACTGGGGTTTTCATTGCGCAATACTTCGTGCAGCATAGTAAAATAAAGCGTATTTACTCTTTTGAAGCAACTATTTTTACATAATTTATAAAGATTAACAAATTTAGGAAATCTCGGGTTAAAAAAATCTAGTTACGTTTTTAAATAACTGATTTTTTAAACGATTTTTCAAATGATGGGTAGATAGACGTCGTACTAGTGTGTTTTTGACGTTATGAATAACCGAAGTTCTTTAAGAGGGGTCATTAATTATGCCATAAAATAAAAAGTATAAAATACATGCTCTTGAAATTTGAAACATAGGAAATTGAGAATCTAACATTCATTTCTATTATTTTTTATGTAAATCTGTGGTATCTGTCATGGTTTGTTGTCCTCCATAAAAACAGGAAAATATCATGAATTTTGACATTTTGAGATGCCCCCTCTGAAAAGCAGACGGTAGAATTTTGTGTTTCTTGCACAAAATGTACAATATAGTATTACCCATCAAATAATATAATTTGAGCAAAAAGTCTATAGTAGCATTTGTATAATTTGCTCAGAAGTGCGAAAAAATGGTATTTTCCTATACAATCCTATGGTAAATGTACCTGTATTTTGAGATGGTCCCTAAAAAATTACCAAACGGTAGATTTTCACTAAACTTGGCATGTATACTGAAGTCAATGTGAGGTACATCTGGTATAAAATTAAAGAGTTTCTCTATAGTAGTTTTCACACAATAAAACCCCAGTCGGCTCCCTTAAAGGGTGCTAAATATCGGTGGTCGGCGCACGGCAGTTTCTTGACTTTCAAAAATAGCATTGACAGCAATGTTTTCTTTATTACCAGGCTATACGGAAATATAATGATATCCACAAACACTATTAATCAGATATTGCCAAAAACGGCGACGTCGAGCGATAATGCGGCGCATCAAATTATCATTGTGTGGAGCGGGGTTTGACTCCTGTTCATAGAGAAAAAGAGCTGAGAACGACACAAATACATGCATCGATCACAGGATTATACATAGTAAAAGAGGTTCAAAGATGAATGGACTGGTTATCCGATGGAATAAGCATTTGGTAGAGACCAACAATAATGACGGCAAACTGAAAAGGATACTGCTGGACGTTATACATGAAGACCACCTATAAGTATTCGAGCAGTTAAGTTTATGATCAGGATTGGGAAATTGCCTATTTAAGAATTTATTCCTTGATTTATACTTAACTGTAGTACGTGTGGAATAGATAATCTGGTAACTAAAAGCAAATTAAATACAGTATCGAATTCATGCTTCGAACGAATTTTTAAAAACGCACGATTCCTAAACAAATTCAAAAACTCCACGAGCTACGTTTTGACGTCGTCGGTGTTACGCCGGTATCTATTTTGAATGATTCGTTTACCAAGGAGGAAAATGTTATTTATAGAGATATTTTACTGAAATTTCTGTGAATTATTTAAAACATGTCGAATTTTAATTTTATAATATTAGTGAAACAAAATATATATTGAATATGTTCGCGTTTTTCTGGGACAACCCTCGTACACATAGTTCATTATTACAAGATATGCCAAAAAACAAAAACCAAAAAAAAAAAAAAAAAGATAATAAAAATAAAAAAAATTAAAAACAAAAAACAAAACAACAAGATGTGTTTGTGAAACACTGATGCCCCCGTATGGCAGCTTATGCGAAGGTTAAAGTTTCTCAAATGAAAGTCAAAATCCAGGCCAAAAGATAAAAAATGTTAAATTTGAAAGCCCTAGCTGCAACTGTTCAAAAGGTCAAGGTCAAAGTTGTTGGTATCCAAAGGAAGGTCTTGTCACAAGGATTACATATGTAAAGTATGAAAGCCCTAGCACCAACCATTCAAAAGTTATGGCCAAGGTTAAAGTTTTTCGAAAGTAGGTCAAACTCCTATGTCAAGGTCAAAGGGTCAAAGTGGTTGGTATCCAAAGGAAGGTGATGTCACAAGGATTACATATGTGAAGTATGAAAGCCCTAGCTTTAACCGTTTCAAAAGTTATGGCCAAGGTTAAAGTTTTTCAAAAGTATGTCAAACTCCTACGTCAAGGTCAAAAGGTCAAAGTGGTTGGTATCCAAAGGAAGGTCTTGTCACAAGGATTACATATGTGAAGTATGAAAGCCCTAGCTTTAACCGTTCAAAAGTTATGGTCAAGGTTAAAGTTTTTCAAAAGTAGGTCAAACTCCTAGGTCAAGGTCAAAGGGGTTGATATCCAGAGGAAGATCTTGTCAAAGGAATACACATGTGAAATATGAAAGTCATAGCTCCAACCAATCAAAAGTTATGGGCAAGGTTAAAGTTGACAATAGACAGACAAACAGATAAACAGACAGACAGACAGGACAAAAACAATATACCCCCGGGATCTTTCGATCCGGGGGCATAAAAATACAGATTTTTTTATTTTTATTTTCTTACAAGTTATTTGGTTACTCCGCTTAAAAAAGGACGATATGAGAATATTATTTGAAATAAAATATAATACCTAGCACAATAAATGACAGTCAATTTTTTATCACAGATTTGATAAAAGTGATGAGAAAATTTTCCACGAAAGTTAACGAAACAGTCAAGGGAAATTGCATACGATATAGAAATAGTAATTTATGAAATATACCATGTGCTTGATGCATGTGGCTTATTCCGTAGAACCTAAGAAAATTGTTTATACAAAATATAATAATTATCGAAATAAATTATGTTCAGAGCACAGGCACTTGTTTCTGCAATAAATTTTTTATCCCATAGTATATGTGTTATTTTTATATTATGGGTGAAAAAATTTGTTACAGAAACAAGTGCCTGTGGTACAGAGTCATATTTTGTTCAAAAACAAAAGTGACGAAAAAATATATCATGAATATTAACAAAACAGTCCGGGGTAATCGCTAAGAATTTATGAACAATTAATACCATGTGCTTCAAGAGGCTTATTCCATGGTACTTTTTTCTTTGCTAACTACTTTTTTTCGTTTTGTTCTCTCTTGCTTTTGTTTGTTTGTATATGTGTTTGTTTTTTAAGGATAGTTTTAAATCCATGCGGCTTATTCCATAAAAGTGTAAAGAACGATAATTTGCGTTGTTCTAAATATGATAATGTCGGTCTACCATTCATCTTTTCAAAGAGTTAATGAAGAAGTACCCCAAAACTTATAGCAACGCGTTGTAAAAGACAACCTATGTCTACATATGAAACTTAAAACACCACCAATGTACTAAATGGAAGAATTGCTCTTCATTATATGTTGTATTCTGTCTGTTATCCTATCTGTAATTATACATGTTATATGTTTATGCCCATTGGGCCCTGATTTGGTAATAAATCCTATTCTGTTCTAAAGGCCGGTCCGTTTACTTATTACTTTATGTACAGCATAGGAATCAACCAGGAATACTCAAGATATTTTAAAACTAAATATCAAAAACTTTCAGAGAGAACATTTTCTTATACTTCTATATATATCTTATTGCACTTTATCTAAATATATCATTCTTGAGTTGTCTTTGTTCTTGGGGGGGGGGGGGGGGGGGGGCGACCATATCTCGAATTGCTGTCCGAGGGGAGGGTCCATCTCAAATCTTTTTATTTCAGATTCAGGGCTGTCGCCAGTTTTCAGGGAGGTGCGGAGGAGGCTATGGGAACGGTGTTCCATAGGGAAAAAAATATATAAGATGATTATTGAGGAACGTGTCGTGTTGACTGTCGTCTATCGTCTGGTCTTTTCTAGCAGCATTACTTTTAATTTCCTTAAACACGGATAATTAATTCATTTTGTTTTAAAATATATTTTCTAATGTTTTACGTTTGAAAAGGGATGTGCCCAACACACCACCAGTTCGATTCACCCAATTTACATCGGGTTTGGTATTTCACATAGCGTCTCTACTTTCTATTTTGCTGAGCAAGAAGAAAAATGGGAAACATATTTTCAACCTGTTGTAGGGGTAATGTAGAGAAATATAGGGAAATAAGCAATGAATCCAAGATATGTGATGATAATGAAGAGGTAGATGAGGTTGACAGGACTAATACTGGCACTGGATATACACACTTGGTAATGCATGTCAAACAGTGACAACATGTGTTGCAATCGCTTTTGAAATAGAAAAAAAAATCGTTTGTTTCCAATTTTCTTCTTATTTTTTATTTAAAATCTTTTTTATTTTTATTTATTTATTTATTTATTTATTTATTTATTTATTTATTTATTTATTTATTTATTTATTTATTTACTTATTTTTGTGCTCAAGGCTGTCAGATGGGGTGTGCAGTGGATGCAACTTCAACCCCCTTAGGAAAAAAAAAATTAAATTTTAAACAATATCAAAGGACTGTATACTATAATGACCAATATCTGCCCCGAAAATCAAACTTTGATGGAGAAGTCTATATTTATTTCATAACCAATGAGATAAATGCAAAGCACAATCTAATTAAAATTAGATGTTCTGAATCCGCTACCGCTTCTCAAACATCTAACAACATCCCATTCGGGGTCACGTCAGAGCGACCTTTCAATTATGAATAAACATAAAAATTTTGGCCAATCAGATTCAACCTTCTGTATTCAATTCTAAAATTAGTTCCATGGCTACATCTCTATATTATTGATGCTCTGTAGACTGTCTTACGTTCAATTAAAGTAATTTTGGTATAAATTGAATGTATATTTATATATTTCAATGATTTTGAGAGAAAAAAAGGTGTATTTTATGTGAATATTTTGATTAAAAGTCATAGAGCACAGGTCTGCTCCATCTCAATCCTTTGGTATAATGCGTAAAACTGTAAAATCAATAAAATATGTGAATATTGTTCTGGAGCAGGCTTGCCCTCTGAAAATTCTATAGTCAAAATTGGACAAATATTGTTCATTTTGTCTTCTCTCTTAAAAGTAACTGAAAATTCATATAGTTTGTGACGTCACAGAAACAAGAATTGCGAAGAATCTTCTTCCAAACAATGATAATTTTTGTTAATTCAGATTTTTCATACAGTATATACAATTATATATTTCTATAGATTTTCAAAACTTGGCTTTCATTGGGGCCAAAATATGCTCTTTGAAACAAAATTTATAAATTCCTTATTTATCTGAAGTTATGCTGCTATGAATTTTTATTTGATTAAAAATTTGGAGTATTTTACATTTAAATCAAGGCAGTAGTAACAATTCATAATAAATTATAGGAAAGAACATGGAGTGATGAACTAGCATCTTTACTGTATTTTCTTTAAACTTTGTTTTAAAATCACATGTGATTAGAATAAATTTATGTAGGTGAATTTACAAAATACAGCTATCCCACATATACTTTTTTCACAGGGCTTTTTGAAAACATATTTATAGTTCACTAGAAAAAATTCATAGACATACCATCACATACATTATTTAAAAAAAACTGCTAATACCTGCAATGTTCTGTTTTAAAGCAATATGAGCTGCATTTTTGAGAATTTCATTTTGTTAGTAAAATGTTTTATTTTGATAACTTTATATGTAATTTAAACCTTTATGATCAATTAGACTAAAAAAAGTATTAAAGAAGAAAGACTTTTGTTCAATCGTATATATAGTATTATGTAAGGAATCAATATTGTACAGGACGACAATAATGTAATTTTGCTTCAATCAAAGCTTAGAAATAGTTCTTCCATTCCAAATATGAACAACGGAAGTTTATGAACATTCTTTTTTTCTGTCATTGAAATAGTTAATTACAATTTTGCAACAAAAAATCCCGACATCAAAGTTGCAGCTCATATTGCTTTAACTTAAATCATCACTTTCAAACAAACTTTTAAGACCACACAATATACTGGATATACTATCCTGAAACTAAACCCCCTTTTTTTCTTTTGAAGGACGAAGAAAGAATTGAACCTGTTGTGAACTCATTGGTTTCAGCAATAGCTGAAGTAAGGATCACTCCAGAGGAACCAACAGATTTTACCAATACCACCCAACAGAACGAGAGAATAGAAATAGTCCAGGTATTAAAAGAGGTCAATAAAGGGACTTATACAAGAATAATACATAGCTGTTTTGTAAACAAAATTGCCCTATCTGTTAAAAAACATCAAGAAAAATGTAAATCAATGTACTATCAACATGTATTTTCATGAGGTTTGGTGTATGATAACATTTATTGTCAATGTAGAAATGAAATTTTACAGATTTTTATAAACTGTATATGTTTCTGTTGAAGGATGAAGAAAGAACTGAAACAGTTAAACCTGTTGTGAACTCGATTGTTACTCCAGCGACTGATGCAAAAACATTTTTAGAAGAACCAGTTTTAGATTTTCCGTTTCTAAAGAATGAAAAAACAATATCTTTTATAAGAAAATCAAATACAATATTTATAATGAGAGGAGTTCCGGGCTCAGGGAAATCTACGATTGCTAGAGCCCTGAAACGGGTGTATCCTTATGCTGTTTTGTGCAGTGCTGATGATTATTTTATGAAAGGAAGTGAGTACATTTACAGATCAGATGATTTAGGGAGTGCTCATAGATTCTGCCAAGAAAAAGCAACGGAAGCTGTTAGAAATGGCGCTAATGTCATCATCATTGATAATACAAACATAAAACGATGGGAAATGAAATTTTACTTGGATCTAGCCAGGCAACAAAAGTATCATATTGTTCTAGTACAACCCAAAACTGACTGGAAAGACAACCCAAGGCTTTTAGCATCAAAGAACAGCCACAATGTTGATGAAGAGACCATACGTCAAAAGATCAAGGGTTTTGAAGAATATGTGCCGTTTTACTATGCCTGGTTTTTAAACAGAGAAGATAGTATGTTGGTACATCAGAAATGTTACAGAACTCTAACATACTGTGTGGAAAATATTTCAGGATTTTGTTCATTTATTCTAGGAGAAGGTAAAAAGTCATTAATAATTATATGTTTGCTTATAGAATATGAACCACAAGCCTGCACACAAGAACAAATGTTCAATTAAAGCCATAGAAAATATGATAAACATTTTCAAGTCAGGCCATAGGAACTGGATACCCCCTCCCAATAATTTTGCCAGTACATGTAGAAAACAAAGGTAATTTACAGTTGCCCCCCCCCCCACACACACACACAATAATAAAGAATTTTACTATGTAGTTAACCAGGACACTGGTTTATAAACAAAATATATGCATGTATGATTAAATCAGGGTGATTTTCATGCATAATTCAAGGAAGAATATGGATTTCAGTTATTTTGGGATAAGTACATGTATTATCAAGGAAGAAACTTGGTCTGTAAGTTGTGTTTGGTGAAGTACATGTATTTTAATCATGCTAAAACAGGAACAGGAGAGTACAGCTGTACTTCATCAACATTATAAATAGAAATATTCGAAATGTATGCCTGTCCTAAAATTACAACAGTGAACGCTTCATGCAGATGCAGTATTATACATTTTGAAACACCTAGCTAGTAAATTTTCTTTTCTTATTTTTTTCCCCTAATAATTTAAAGGTCATTGCCAGAAATTTACTGATAATATTGTGACAGATGATAGTTAATGTTACAGTTGTAGTTGTTCAATTTTGATGCAAAAAATTAATGTTAAAATATTAATTGAAATTTCATTATTAATTTTCAGAGTGCAAGTATTGTTAATTTAATTAAAAATGAAATTATATTTCATGTCTTTTCTTTCCAGACTACAGTTCCAGTGAATTTCTTGAATATTTCAAATTGCGGGAGATACCTGACACAACATATCACTGCACAGCCAAGTTCTTAGGTGGGCCTAAAAGTAACATCAGAGGCAGGCTGGAGTACCACAACAGTAACAACGTCCAGGAAGCTTACGGGAAAAGTTTCACCATAGTCATGACTGGGATGATTGTCACATCATCAGTGGTGGCCATTAGAATAAAGTTACCCTCCGAAGAAGCACTGATGTTGTTTGACAAACCAGAGGAAAATGCAGATGGTAGTTTCCCAAATAGATTCTGTCATCAGAAAGGAAGTAGTGCTCATTTAACAATGGCTACAGCTGAGGGAGTCCCAGCAAAACACAGTAATGCAGATTTACTGGCGGTTTGTGAAATGGAGAAGACTGGATCCAAAAGTAAACCACCCATCAACCTGGGTTTTGGAGTAGTTCACTTCTTGGATAGAGGTTATTGTTCAATTCTTTTTGATCAGCATTTGGAATTATTTTCCCTATTCACAGGATCATAAAGCAGAAAAATTTTTAGTGTTTTATTAACAATTTTTTTTCAGAATGGGAAAATGAGTTTACTATACAGTAAAATACGCTTATAGTAAACACACTTATAATGAATTTTTGCTTACAGCGAAGTGATTTCATTCCCTGTGGTTTTAAAAAGTAGTGTGAACACAACATATATAATCAAGTACATTTATATCAAAGCCAAAATGTCCGTCCCTGGCACTTCACTATAAGCGAGTTTTACTGTATTGTGAAGTTTTTTTGTATATGCAAGTTTTTCAGGAGATTTTTCTAAGTGTATATTCTTGAATATCACTTTCATTTTATTCCACATCTGGACCAGAACTTTGCTAAGAAGAAGCTTTTATTTAATTATTTATTTTTCATTCTTTTAGTTGAAATTAAGGCATTGTAATTTGAGCCATTTTAAATTGTTAGATTTTCATTAATACTCCTTATTGATATTTTGTGTATGGTAATATACATGTACATTTTATAAAGACTTTTTCAAATTTTTTACTGTAGTTGATATTTTTTCCCCTTAAATGTAAGGAAAAAAATTGTTTTTCTTTCCTTTTTTATATGCCTTTGAGTTTTCATTGTTTTTTAACAACTGTTTTTCTTTTTACAGTTTTTGAGGAAAGTTAGTTGTAATATAGACTGTTGATTTTGATGATAAATTATGAAGATTATTTAATGGTGTGTTTCTAAAACTGTTTATCCATTTTTCCAGCAAGGATAAATCTAGGTATTTTTCCAGGGGTGGGGATGGGGATGTATTGGGTCCATAGCCACAAAAAAAAATCTTGACAGACTTGACAGGCCCAATAAAAATATACAGAAAGAAGAACTGTCTACATGTGAAAAAAAATATTTCGTTTGGGGTTGGATAACACTTCTCATCATGGACAATTCAGTCTCTTTCATATATGTACATGACTCCTCTTACCAACTTACTAGTAGTTGTATTTTGTAAAGGGGACCAACGTCATCTTTTTGTTACTTTACTGTATAAAGATTTTATTACTGAAAATCCCAGAGAGTGGAGGTCTGGACCCCCCTTTTTTAAAAGGAAGAGAGTTATCTTGTTCGCCATATTTGTCTTCTCAGGATTGTCCTCCATCAGCCTCTGTATAACTTTAGTTTTGTTCACTGCTCAATGTATTTTGCTTCATGAACTTTACCTTATCATTGCGATATACTTTGGCCGACAGAATGTATGCCTCTACCTCATCAGGAAAAAAAGTTACTGATGATATTCGATATCAATTGCACAGGTCAAAGCATTACAAAGTGAAATAAACAGAAATGCACTTCAATGAAATAAAACGCATACGGAACAGTGTGAGATATACATGTACTACACGCAGCAGTGACCAGGTAAAAGCAACCAGTTGTAACGAATGCGAAGGGTTTATATACCCCCGAACTGAGATAGAAGATAGGAAAAACTAATATGGCGTTTAAACTATGTTTGGAGATGTACATGCACCATGCTTTTCAAGAAATATGGATAGCTTTAAAAAATACAATCAAAGACTTCACACATCTCCTGGCTAAACAAGTGGTAAATCCATTGTGGAATACCGATCCCAAAGTATTTTTATATTATTTATATATCAGTTTGTGTGGTAACTGAATATCATGCAGTTTCAAAGTACAGTATCATCATCGTCGGAAACCCACGGTCGGTCTCGCTTCTCTTACCTCGAGGTAAGAGAAGCGAGATCAACCGTGGGTTTCCGACGATGAGTATCATAAGCTTATAAACATGTATAAATGCTAATTATCAAAATCCTGCCTCTCAAAATTCAAAAGTCATAAGTTAGATTAAACTGCCTGGGGTATTTTTTGCAAGTAGGTCAAAGGTCAAGTGGATTATAACAGTGATATTTTTCATATGGACACGATGAACGATTTTGAAAAGTAGGTCAAGGGTCAGGGGGTTGGTAACAATGGTAATTTACAAAAGCCATAGTGCCAAGCAATATATGTGCAAAATGTCAAATTCACACCTCTTTCAGTTCTCGAGATATAAGGTGTGACAGACAGCTAGACAGACAGACAGGATAATTATCCCTAAGTGTCGCTCTGCTTTGCAGGCGACACATAAATATGCCGTTTATCGGTACTTTGAAATATTTCGAAATAGAGGTCAAAGGTCACGAGGTCGGTATCCATGGTTATTTACAAAAACCATATTGCCAAGCAGTATATGTGGTGGACAGACAAACAGACGCCGGGTAAAGTGACCCCTTGGTGTCGCTCTGCTTTGCAGGCGACACAAAAGTACAATTAAAATCTTCAAATTTCTCCAGGTCATAGGCGCTTGGTTTCAGGAAGGTGTATTTTGTGTATTATGTATATATGGCACGCCAAATTCACAAAAATTAGATAAACAGAGTTTAACAGTTGATAAACTAGGGTTATCGATCGTAAACTATAGTTTACGAACTGTGAACTATAGTTAACGATTCGTTAACTGTAGTTTGCATTTGTAAAACTATATTTAACGGTTGTATAGTGTAGTTTACGAATGCTAATCTATGTTTATCTTGTCTGTAAATAAACGTTAACAATAGATTTTGCTGATAAATATAGATTCTCACATGTAAACTATAATTTGCATTCGTTAACCATAGTTAGGAGTTGTTAATCAAAGTTTTACAAATCGTAAAACTATATTTATCAGATAAAATGCTTTACATTCGTTAACTATAGTTTTCGGTCGTAAACTATAGTTAACTGTCATTTATACTCACAAACAATATTTAACAGACGTAAACTATACTTATCGATCGTAAACTATAGTTTTGAGAGCTAAACTATGATTCTCGCGAGAAGGAATAATGGGATCAGTGCAGAGAACATTAAGGGCACGTGTTGAGCATTATCTAAAGCAAAGACCGAGTTATATATAGTCAATATTACTTTCTCTATTTAAACAGGATTAATTGTATTTGTTTTAAAATGTCGTGTATATATACATTTCCTATAGGAAATTTTTAAAAATATGATAAATTTTTAATTTCTTAAAAGACAGAATATTACGTACGAGATTTTTGCTCAAGCAGAGGAGGGTGAAGCGCGTTTTACAATGTGCCAAGCATTTTCCCGCCACATCTTATCAAAACAGAGGAAATGCAGTGGCGGATCTAGATGGGGTTGTGGGGGTTTCAACGTCCTCCTTTGAATTTGAGAGAGAGAGAGAGAGAAGTCCCAAATATTTGTTGTATTTTACTAAAGTAAATGTTCCGTAAAAGGCCACTTTTATTTATGTATGAAGAAAATTCGGTTGTTGAAAAATAAATTCCGCGCCTGCAATGTTACATGCACTGTGTTATGTCTATATTTACAGATTAATATAAGATATACATGTATTTTATTAATAACAGATCACGCATTTCAATTTGTTGCCTCATAAAAGGAACAATTGGCCGGTTTGCGGCCGATTTTTGACGCTTGCTTCAATATGTTTCTTGTTCATTATTGTTTGATCAGCACATAAGGTTGGAAAGACGGCAGGGATAGATATCAGCGATTTCTTCCGTTGCTGAAGACAAATTTGGTTACAGATCGTTAACATGCATTTCTTTCTATTTTTCTCTTTTAAATTAAAAAGAAAAAATTTTCATCAATAATTTTCCTGTCATTTTTCTTTTTATTTCCAACTAGATTTGCTTTAAAATAATAGAACATTTACTTTTAATGCCAACAAGAAATATACATACATATATATTTAACAACAATTGTCGTTACATAGCAAAATCTTATAATGCAGTAACTAGGCTTAGCCGATATATAATTTACAAAAAAAAAAACTATTGTTAACCGGCTATAGTTTTGATCGTAAACTATGGTTTAGAGTCATGAAATCTAGTTTCACAGAAAATTGTGCATCTCCGATACAAAATAAGAGGTTCTGTTCCTAAACTGTGTTTCTCAAATGTAAAACCATGTTTATCGCATTTTTGTGAATTTGGCGCTTTGTATGTCTGTAAAGTATATACTTTACAAACCCCAAACCATAATTTTCATTTGTTAAGTATAGTTTAGAGTTGTAAATCATAGTTTACAAATCGTGAAACTATATTTATCAGATAAACTATATTTTGCAGTAGCAAATGATTGTTTTCCGTGTTAATTATAGTTTACGCTTGTGAAACATGGATTATCGTGTAAACTATAGTTTACAGATGTGAAATATAGATTATCATCGTTAACTGTAGTTTACGGTCCGTAAACTATAGTTTACAGTAGATAAACATACTAGTTTATCGACTATGAAACTATGATTAGCTCATTTTTGTGAATTTGGCGTGCCATATGTATATCATATTACTGTACATAAAAAGAGTCTTTTATATACAGTAATATGATATGTTTAAAACGTTCTAATTTTAGCGATTTTTTATTTTTATTTTAATGAGTGTATTCAGACACCCAAAAAACACATAATGCACAAAATATCCCTCCTGAAACCAAGTGCCTAGTATGCTCCTGGCTAATCAAGTTGTAAATTATGGTTCTTGCTCATTAAGTGATGATCTGTCACGATATATATAATCAGAAATGGATAACTGCTTCAAGTAGGACTAGAGATTACTTTGTAATAAGCAATAATAAGCAATGAATGGTGAAGTACATAAAGCACTCGATATCTATTTGAACTCTGCATGACCCAGTAAGGCAAGTTTGAGGTGAAATTTCTGAAATTCTCGAATTTGTGCTTTATTTTCACTAAAATTGTAATAACTATATCAAAAGCAAAATTAGAGAACTGTGTTTGTTCCCCGCTTTCAGAGTCTTATTAATTGGGACGCAATTATTTTTAGCATGCTGTAACTGTCAGGTCTGTCCATAATACGAAAAAAAGTATTATATTTTTGAAGAGTAGTACACACAGCTAGAGTGTGTCGCTGCTTTATAGGTTCATTAAAGATGTAAATAAATCTAAGTGTAGTTAGCTATATTTATTTACTAACTAGCATAATATTTCATGCAGAAAAAAGCATCAACGAATAGTATAAGACAACCATAGAATCTGACAATCAAAGAAAATATGATTTTCAACCCTCAAATGAATTATTGAATTGAAATTATTAGATATAATTATTTATCTTTTTACATGTATTAATATGTGTTTCCAACATTCCTCCAAAAGAGATTTCAGTCTTTTTACCCCAATTGTCAGTGTGGAATACTGATCCCAATGTATTTTCATAGTATTTAAATATCAGTTTGTGTGGTAACTGAATATCATACTGTTTCAAAGTACAGTATCGTGAGCTCATCAGCATGTTTAAACGCTAATTATCAAAACCTCGCCTCTCAAAATTCAAAAGATGTAAGTTGAATTAAACTGTCCGGGTATATTTTGCAAAGAAGGTCAAAACCAAAGTCAAGAGGATTGTAACGCTGATATTTTTTCATAATGTTTGATGACAATCAGTGCACATGCTATATAGCATAGACTTCCTTCTTAAATGTTAAAAATATGCTGTATATCGGCACTATTAACTATTTTGCAAAGAAGGTAAAGGGGCACAAGGTTGGTAACCATGACAATTTACAAAAGCCATAGTGCCATGCAATATATATATGCAGGATATCAAATACATATCTCTTACAGTTCTTGAGATATAAGGTGTGACATACGGACAAACAGACCCCTGGTAAAGTGATCCCTAAATGTTGCTCTGTTCACAGGCGACACAAAAATTACAGTTTTGTGAATTTTGAACGCACTGCTCCCATTGAATTACGTACATGTACACCTACTTCGCTGTTTTTTTGTTTGTTTGTTGTTGTTTTTTTTCCTTGGTTTGTTTGTTTTGTTTTGTTTTTTTTACAATGTTGACTTTTAATGGGACCCTATCCTCTCACAATCAAAATTAGAGTTATCATATGTTAAAGTTTAAGTTTTTGTGACAGACGAACATTTCCGGAAAGACTTTGTCAGAGGAAATGCACAAGTAAAATTTGAAAGTCCTGGCTCATCAGGTGCAAAAGCTACGGCAAAATTAAGTTTTAAAAAGTGGGTCAAAAATTAGTCAAAATGACAAGGTAAAAATCATAAAAATTTGACAAGATGTTGTCATAGGTAATGCACATCTTAAATATGAGATCTCTATCTTCTCATTCAAAAGTTATGGCCAAAATTTTTACGACAGATAGAAGGACGGACGAACAAAATTTTCAGTCCCCGTGATATTACAAGAGTGGGACAACAAAAAGGATCAAATACCATTTATAGCAATTCATAGGAGCATAGATAAACAAGTGACTATCAAAGTATAAAATTTACAGTACTGTTCCAACTATGTTCGCCAGATCATCCATTTTTAGTTCACCTGAGCCGAAGGCTCAAGTGAGCTTTTCTGATCAAAATTTGTCCGTTGTCTGTCGTCGTAAACTTTTCACATTTTTATCTTCTTCTCAAGAACCACTGGGCCAATTTCAACCAAATTTGCCACAAAGTATCCTTGGGTAAAGGGGATTCAAGTTTGTCCAAATGAAGGGTCACGCCTTTTTCCAAGGGGAGATAATTATGAATAAGTAAAAAATTAAAGGCATCTTTTAAAAATCTTCTTCTTAAGAACCACTGTGCTTGAAAATATGAAACTTATGTGGAATCATTGTGAGGTAGTGTAGATTCAAATTTGTTCAAATCATGACCCCTGGGGGTAGTTTGGGGCCACAATGGGGGATCAAAGTGTAACATAGGAATACATAAGAAAAATCTTTGAAAATCTTCTCAAGAACAGCAAAGCCATAATCAGACATATTTATATGGAAGCATCCTCAGGTAGTGTAGATTCAAGTTTGTTCAAATCATGACCCCTGAGGGTAGGGTGGGGCCACAATGGGGGATCAAAGTTATACATATGAATACATTGTGAAAACCTTTAAAAATCTTCTTCACAAGAACAGCAAAGCCATAATTAGACATATTTATATGGAAGCATCCTCAGGTAGTGTAGATTCAAGTTTGTTCAAATCATGACCCCGGGGGGTAGGGTGGGGCCACAATGGGTGATCAGAGTTTTACATTGGAATACATAGGAAAAATCTTTAAAATTCTTCACAAGAACAACAAAGCCATAATTGGTCATAAATATATAAAAACATCCAAAAAGGTAATGTAGATTTATATTTGTTAAAATCATGCCCCCCTCCCCCCAGGAGAATAGAGGGGCCGTAACAGGGGTTCATAGGTATACGAAGGAATATAAAGGATATATCAATAAAAAATTTCATCTTAAAAATGACAAAGCTATGTGTCATATTTAAGCTTGTTCAAAGCATACCCTCTCCCAACAAAGCCATGATTGGTCATAAATATATAAAAGCATCCAAAAAGGTAATGTAGATTTAATTTTGTTCAAATCATAACCCCCACCCCCCACCCCCCTAGAGAATAGAGGGACCATAACAGGTTATCATAGTTATACAAAGGAATAAAAGGATATATCAATAAAAATTTTCATCTTAAAAACAACAAAGCTATGTGTCATATTTAAGCTTGTTCAAATCATACCCCCTCCCAACAAAGCCATGATTGGTCATAAATATATAAAAGCATCCAAAAACCAAAAAGGTAATGTAGATTTAAATTTGTTCAACTCATAACCCCCCCCCCCCCCCCCCCCCCCCCCCCCACGGAGAATAGATGGACCATAACAGGGGATCATAGTTATACAAAGGAATAAAAAGGATATATCAATAAAAATTTTCCTCTTAAAAACAACAAAGCTTGCTCAAATCATACCTCCCAAACCACTTCTCAATACTGATTTCTGCTTTTTCCTAGCCAAAGTGCCCAGGTGAGCGACGTGGCCCCTGGGCCTCTTGTTATCAATTTTGTTTACGGTGAAACTATGGTCAATTACTAATAAGTCTATAATATAAAGATGGTGGATCTGTTCAAATGGGCTATGTTGTTCAGATGTAAAATGCTGTTGTTCTTATGAACAGTACTGTTTGACGAAATTGGCAACACAAAGTTATTCAAGTTATACTGACAACCTTTTCAAGGAAAAGGCAAATGCAATCTGTAAACATTCATAATCTAAAATGTTACAGGGAAAAGCAGTACATAACTAAATATTTGCAGTCAACTTGTATAATCTATATGATTAATTAATTTATTAAATAAATTATGAATCACAGATTAATTTACAATACATGTATCTAGTCAATAGTCTACATAATCTATCATGTTGGATTACACATATTTTTCGGGATAAAAGTCCTCTGATTCATACGTTTTTCCACAAAGACGCTTTAACACTTGTCCACTTTCGTGAATCCATTTATTACAAACTGCAATGAAAAAAAATGAAATTTAGTTTAAGCAGCATGGCTTTGCAATTAATTTTATTACTGCAGATGTGAGACGTAACTCAACCGACCAAGCAAGAAGTCTTACCCCATTTTGAACCAAGAATAACTGGACAACCCCCATGTGACATCCTTTGGTCTATTTCACCATTAGGTTTTAGGTTGTACCAAAATGCTGCAGCTCCCTAAAATGTATTTAAGTAAATCTTAAACATTAATGAATATTCAGATTAAAGATTACTGACTTTAAAAAAATGACTCTGTGATCGAACAATATCGCAGTTCTGGCCACAAGACCATAAACTGAGAACTGACTTAAGGAGGGATTCTTCTCATATTTCTTGTATTTAAAAATTAATGAAATTTTCACAGATTCAAGAAGCCATTATCAGTGGGTGATGGTATCAATTAGATTAAATTTGACCATTTTATTTTAGAAGTAAGGTCAGGTCAAGGTCATTATCTTTTTCCTTCACAATAAAAATAAAAAGTTACTGTTGCCAATCATGCAATGCCTACTTTTATTTCAAAAGTTTAAATACTTTTCTTTTTGCATAAAAAGATACTACAATATAAGGTCTTTCAGATGATACTACCAAATCGACATGAATAATTCAACTAAAATAGATATTGGCTAATCCGAATTTCCTCTATTTTTTCTTAAATTTTTAGAATATATTAGTTATTTTAATATCATGCTTCGTATATCTAATTTCTTCTTATTTTCACATATGGTAAAGTAGTCATATAAAGATACAAACTGATACAAAAACAAAAAGTTTTGACCGTTTACTAAGCGAGAAAAAACACTTTTTACAGATTTTTTGCTCAAATCTCTACTTAGATTGGAAGCTTTTAAAAGCTAATAAAATTGTAGATTGTTTGAAAAATTATATTTATTTGATATATTTTAAAACATTAGTCCCTTATTATCAATTTTACTTACATTTGAATTTTTTTGTAAAGTCTTTGACTGTTTAAAAATTTTAACGCAATTCATTGTTCTATAGTAATGTTAAGAAGCAGAAAAGGAGATATTTTCATACACTGTCGTTCCGCAAAAAATATGGTCCCTACTATATTTCAAATTCAGTTTACTATTCCTATTTTAAGTTGTACAACTATGATGAGGAGAGAAAATTATGATTTTTTAAATCCCTTATATCTAAATGTATAAGACCTATAAGTGAATGAACTTTGAATATCTCATTTAGTCAGAAACCAGACAAGAATCCCTCCTTAAGTCAAAATTTCGAATCGATATAACTTTTGAAATAATTTTCAAAATGAAACAAAATTTTCATCTTATGTTTAAATTAGAATATTATAAAAAAAAATATGCAAATTTTTAAGTACATATGTTAAACAAGAGGCCCAAGGGCCTTAACGGTCACCTGAGTACAATACAACAATTTAGAGGATCCATAGAGTATTAAAATGAAATGAAAGGTGAAGCTTTGTTGCCCAAAAGCAAGAAAAATAGGGTGACCAGGATCAACAAAATAATTAGTCTACTATTCATTAACAGTTCATAAATTAGGTTCTAATCTGTTCCCCAATTATCACTATCACCATACAGTATATTACCAAACTATCAGTGCTTTTGTACTATTTTAATTCCTTGTTGTAATCTCTTACATTGGCCTCTCTTGGTCTTTGATGAACATTTAATAAGACAAGTTATTTTTGTCTCATTTTTATTTATCTATTACTTACAAGTCCACATGATCATTAAAACTATGAAAATACTTTTTGTATTATACAATAAAAATTCTTGCATAATTTTCTTATTCTATTAATTTTTCATGTACATTATTTACAATGATTAATTATCAAAAGTAAACGGCAAAGGGGAATAACTCCTCTCAGTAGAATGCAAATTAATTGAGCCCTGGCTAGGACCAGAACACTTGACCAAATGGTCCAGATGTTCAAAAATCTGGTAAAAATACCCTTCCTTATTACAACTTTTACACTTTTTGCCTCTGATATGCCCAAGTGCAGAGAAGATTTTTAAAGAAATAATGCATTTTCAATACAGATTCACTATATTATCAATAGAGCCCCCCCCCCCCCCTTCACCACCGAGAAACACCAGAGCCTCTCACCCTGGGACCAGAAGTTTCAAGTTTGCTCATCATAAGTAATCACTTTGTTTAACTGCTTAACATTAAGGAGCAGACAGGATCATTTAATAGAATTAATGCATTTTCACTACATTATCAACAGCCCAACCCTTATACCAGCACATCTGACCCAGGGGTCATGCAATTCACTACTCTGGAAGAAGCACTCTTGCTCATCATAACTATATACTTAGCTTCTTTGCTTTTTAACCAGAAGCAGAAAAGAATATTTTCAAAGAAATTTTGATTTTTCACTATATAATCAATAGAGCCCCCCCCCTTTTGACAAGGATCCTTGACCCTGGGGCCATGAAATTCACAATTTTAGAAGAGGCATCCTTGCATATCATAACAATGTACTTAATTTGTTTAAATAGTACCCAGGGGCAGAGAAGAAGATTTTCAAAGAAATAATTCACCTTCACTGTAGGAGCTATATAGCCCCACCCTAGCACAAGAACCCCTGTCCCTGGGGTCATGAATTTCACAATTTTGGAAGAGGTGTCCTTGCTTATCATAATAATGTACTTAGTTTGTTTAAATAATACCCAGAAGCAGAGAAGAAGATTTTTAAAGCATTAATGCATTTTCACTATATAATAAATAGAGCCGCGTCCTAACATCAGAACCCCTGACCCAGGGGCCATGAAATTCACAATTTTGGTAGAGTTACTCTTGCTTATCATAACTATGTATTTAATTTGTTAAAATAATACCCAGGAGTAGAGAAGAAGATTTTCAAAGAAATAATGCACTTTCACTATATGATTTATATAGCCCCCCCCCCCCCCCCCCCCAGCACCAGAACCCCTTACCCTGGGGCTATGAATTTCACAATTTTGGTAGATTCACTCTTGCTTATCATAACTTTGTATTTAATTTGTTTCAATAATACCAAGGAGTAGAGAAGAAGATTTTTAAAGAAATAATGCACTTTCACTATATGATCTATATACCCCCCCCCCCCCCCCAGCGCCAGAACCCCTGACCCTGGGGCCATGAATTTCACAATTTTGGTAGAGTCACCCTTGCTGATCATAACTCTGTATCTAATTTGTTTAAATAATACCCAGGAGTAGAGAAGAAGATTTTCAAAGAAATAATGCACATTCACTATACGATCTATATAGCCCCACCCTAGCACCAGAACCCCTGACCCTGGGGCCATGAATTTCACAATTTTGGTAGAGTCACCCTTGTTTATCATAACTATGTATTCAATTTGTTTCAATAATACCCAGGAGTAGAGAAGAAGATTTTCAAAGAAATAATGCACTTTCACTATATGATCTATATAGCCCCGCCCTAGCACCAGAACCCCTGACCCTGGGGCCATGAATTTCACAATTTTGGTAGAGGGCTCAATGCTTATTACAATCATGTCAACAGTTTGACTGCTTGATGTCCAGGAGTAAAGAAGAAGATTTTTAAAGATTGCATTAATTTTGATGGTTTTAGCCCCACCCCTCAGGCCCCAGGGGGGCAGGGACCATGAAATTCACAAATTTTGTTCCCCTTCACACATAGATGCCATATGCAAAAATTGGCTGAAATTGGTTTAGCGGTTTCAGAGAAGAAGCTGAAAATGTTCAAATGTTAACACACGACGCACGACGGACGACGACGGACGAAAACAGATAGCAATAGGTCACCTGAGTGACTCAGGTGACCTAATAAAAATCAAAATATTCTAACTCAAAATTTTGACTCAAGTCCCTTTTCAGTTTATGGTCTTGAGGCCAGATCTTGAATTTGTGGTTTCCCATGGGAAAATGAACTGCCGATATAGGCAGTTATTAAGCAGTACTTAAGCAGTTTTTTTTAAATTTCAAGCAGGTTTCCAACAGTTTCAGGCAGTTTGGATTTTACTGTTCTTTCATAACTGCTAGTGCCTGGGGAGTACACAGTTTTCTTAAGCAGTTTTCTAAGCAGTAAGCAGTCTTCTTATCAGTATATTTTAGCTGCCAATACTGGGAGAGAAAACAGTTTCCCTATAAGCAGTTTTGTTAGCAGTATATAAGAAGTTTCCTAAGCAGTAAATATTTAAACTGTTCCATCTTAGAAATAGTGCTTTACAATTTGATTGGAGAATTCCAATGTTGGGCTCAATGATCAATAAATATACACAACAGGAACCAAACAACTGACTGCCAAAATTCAATTTTATATAATATTTTATAAGTGTTTTTGAATAAGAGAGAAGTAGTGAACAATTATTATACTTCTTAAATCATTTCAATGGTCTGTTCATATATATACATATATATTGCCAGCACCTTTTAAGAATCACAGTGACTCAATTCCTTTAACTAAAATGAGCAAAATCTTTTTTTATTTAACTACAACTAATATGTTTTAGGGAAAAAATGTACATTTTTATCTACATGTATATTGATATTGAAATCATCATGGTTCATGAATTATTTTCATATTGAGGATTGTTTTAACATTTGAGGTATTAAACAGTTGTAGTCACATTGTATCTTTAATATTGGCCCAGTTGATTAAATATGTGTAATTAATTCAATGTAATTGTATTTCTGTTAAAAATTAAAACAAGAAGTCTGTGAGCCAATGCTCACTAATAATACCCCCGCTCTGATGTGAATATACAAGTTCAGTTATGGACAGACACAGTGATAATCAGGAAGTGGACATTGGATCTTTACAAAAATGAATCCCAACATATGGCATGCTTAAACAAAGGGTGTGCTAAAATTTCAAGCATCTGTGATGAGTAGTTGCTGAGAAAACTGCGACCAAAATTTGTTATGTATGGTATGGACAGACACACGGATAAACAGGAAGTTGATATCAGATTCGTACAAAAATGAATCCCACCATATGGCATGCCTAAACAAAGAGTGTGCACAGTTGCTGAGAAAACTGTGACCAAAATTTGTTACGGACAGACACACAGAGGGACGGACGGACAGACCGACACACAAGGGTAAAACAGTATACCCCCCTCTCCTTCGAAGCGGGGGTATAATTAGGAATTCAGGAAATATGTGTCCTCAAAATGAGATTGCTTCACAGTTAATTAACAGTATATGTATATTAAGCAGTTGTCTTACAGTTAATTAAGCAGTACAAAAACAGTAGCTTTACAGTTTAATAAGCAGTACCTTAACAGTTATATGTAAGGGAGCAACCAGTCCTGAAAAGTCTTACCAAAATAACTGCTTATAAACTGCCAATGACCTGCTAACGAACTGCGTAAAACTGCCTAACAACTGTTAAGGCTTAGAAAACTGCCTATTTTATTCAAAGGTTTATTGTGGGCCAAACATGCCCTAAGCAGTGCAGAGAAGGTTTAAAAACTGCTTTTAAACTGCTAAGATGGATCAACTCTTAAGGTTAAGAAACTGCTAAATAACTGCCTTCCACTTTCCCATGGGTTAATAATGTGTGCATTGTTCTTTTTGTTTGTTAACGAAGAATACGAGTGAGCATGACTGATATATATAAACAATGTATATATATATATATATATATATATATATATATATATATATATATATATATATATATATATATATATATATATATATATATATATATAATTTCTTAGATGGATTACTAACTTTAACCACTGGGACTCTGGCTTTCAATTTAGGGAAAACTGTCACTCCTCCAGCCTGCACATCATTCAGCTGTAAGTCAGAAAATTATTTAATCAACATATCCTGGATTTTTCTCCGTTTATTAAAAAAGACACTTTCTAACATATATTGTCATTTTCATGGAGTACGTGTAAACATCCATCATCATCATGGCAGTGTTTGTAAAAACAAGATATCCCTCTTCCCCTCGTTATCCCCCCCCCAAAAAAAAACCCACCAAAATTGGTCGAAATTTTATTTTTGGTGTGGATTACAATGTTTCATGTGCAGCCGTACCGTACAATATATGAAGCACCAAATTACATATACTCAAATAACTGAAGATATACCTTTATAATTATTTGAAGATAATATCTCATCAATTTCATTGATGCAGCAACAGAAGATCTCTTCTAATAGTTATTCTGAATTATTTGCGCCCATGAATTCAATTATTTTTTCTCTAGTCACAAAAGATACCTGTGTTTCCAGTCTATAATTTAATGGAGAGCTGCTTGGTTGATACAATAATCAGTACTTACATAAAACATCCAGGTTGCAATCCTTTGTCCTTGATATCTCATAAAATATGTCTTCACTTTCTGCTTTTCTTCCGTCATTTCCCAGATTGATTCTTCTGTAGCCTACAAAGTAGTTCAAAAGCAATGAAATCCTTTACTTATTCACTAAAATTCACCACCTATCTAAACAACAGAATACAATAAAATCTATATCCATTAAGTTTTTTGTGTATATATTTCTCAATTTATCTTTTAGTTTATGCACTCTTTTTTTCTAACTCATATCACTTACTAAAGGATCTTTGTGTTCTCCGTAATGACCACCTGTTGTATAGCTTAATACCTGTAAGCAAAGCAATATCTTTTTCTTATAAAGCAAGAAATGTATTAATGCAACCCCCAACACACACACACACACATCCACACACACACACACACACACAAATTGCAAAACATTTACGGGAATTTTGCCGCGTTTTAACTCATTACTACAAGATTCAAGATGAAAAGTAAAAATTCACTGCTGTAAAATTATTAATCTATAATGACAGTCATCATTCTGGTTTTTACTGTTCATTTTTCTTAAAAAGATAATTTTGATACTCATAATGACTGTAGTTTCTCATTGGTTTCATTGACTGTTCGAAACCCTCTGCATGTCACCCCACCTTTCAAGGCAAACAATTCTGAATATATCAGTTAAACTTTATACTCTTTAAACTTTTAAGGTATAGGATTTCATGACTTGTATGTTGTAGAGCGTTTCAGATCTATATAGTTGAGAAAGTTCTTTTATCTGAAAATAAGCTGAATTTCTATCTTTGGGAGCGTTTAACTGAGGCCAAGAGGCCACAACGCTCACCTGAGCACTTTGGCAAGGAAAAAACAGAAATCAGTTCAGGGTTGAAAAGTTTAAATATTAAAGTGGTTCAGGGTAGGGGGAGGGCTATGTTTTGAACAAACTTGAATTTACACTCCCTAAGGATGCTTTTGAATTAATATGACACATAATGGCTTTGCTGTTCTTAAGATGAAAATTTTTATTGATATATCCTTTATATTCCTTTGTATAACTATGATCCCCTGTTCGGGCCCCCCTATTATGTTTTTGTGAAGAATTTTAAAAGTTTTTCCTATGTATTCCAATGTAAAACTTCGATCACCCATTGTGGTCCAACCCTACCCCCAGGGATCATGATTTGAACAAACTTGAATCTACACTACGAAGATGCCTCCAAAAAATTTGTCTAAACATGGCTTTGCTGTTCTTGTGAAGAAGATTTTTAAAGATTTTTCCTATGTATTCTTATGTAAAACTTTGATCCCCCATTGTGGCCCCACCCACCGCGGGGGTCATGATATGAACAAATTTGAATCTACACTACCTAAGGATGCTTCCAAATAAATATGATTAATCACAGCTTTGCCATTCTTGAGAAGAAGATTTTTAAAGGTTTTCCCTATGTATTCATATGTAAAACTTTGATCCCCCATTGTGGCACCATCCTACCCCAGGGGTCATGATTTGAACAAACTTGAATCTACACTACCTGAGGATGCTTCCATATTAATATGACCAATCATGACTTTGCTGTTCTTGAGAATAAGATTTTTAAAGATTTTTCTTATGTATACCTATGTAAAATTTTGATCGCCCATTGTGGCCCCACCCTACCCCCCGGGGGTCATGATTTAAACAAATCTGAATCTACACTTCCTAGTGATGCTTCCAAATAAATATGATTAATCACAGCTTTGCTGTTCTCGAGAAGAAAATTTTAAAAAGTTTTCATATGTAAAACTTTGATCGCCCATTGTGGCCCCACCCTAACCCCAAGAGTCACGATTTGAACCAAACTTGAATTTATGCTACCTGAAGATGCTTCCAAATAAATATGACCAATCATGGCTTTGTTGTTCTTGAGAAGAAGATTTTTAAAGGTTTTAAATATGTATTCATATGTAAAACTTTGATTGCCCATTGTGGCCCCACCCTACCCTGGGGGTCATGATTTGAACAAACTTGAATCTACACTACCTGAGGATGCTTCCAAATAAATATGATCAATCATGGCTTTGCTGTTCTTGAGAATAAGATTTTTAAAGATTTTTCTTATGTATACCTATGTAAAACTTTGATCCCCCACTGTGGCCCCACCATACCCCCTGGGGGGCATGATTTGAACAAACTTGAATCCACACTACCTGCGGATGCTTCCACATAAGTTCCATATTTTCAAGCACAGTTCATTCGAACAAACTTGAATCCCCTTTACCCAAGGATACTTTGTAGCAAGTTTGGTTGAAATTAGCCAAGTGGTTCTTGAGAAGAAGATGAAAAATGTGAAAAGTTTACAATGACAACAACAACAACAACAGGCTACGGACAAATTTCGATCAGAAAAGCTCACTTGAGCCTTTGGCTCAGGTGAGCTAAAAAGTTGGAAACCTGTGGTGTATTAATAAATTAAAGATCTGAAAACTATATATAATAAAAAAAAATCAGAATAGAAATGTGAGAAAGCAAAACCAATAAACTAGTTTTTCAGTTCGTGTTTAATGATGTGTACAGTGCAAGCAAATCGAACACACCCAGTCAACAAGAACAGTGCTAAGTCTGTGATTATAAACACAAGTGGTTGTGTAAGGTTATGAAAAATCCGAATTCAGTGATCAACTTATAATAGGATTTCTGATCTGATCTGGCTTCCGTAGATCTGTATACTCCTTCAAATTTTGTCAAAAATAGTAATCTGTTATAACAAATTAGTAATTTGTTATATCAAATTACTAATTTGTTACAACAAATTATTAATCTGTTTTAACAAATTACTAATTTGTTATAACAAGTTACTAATTTGCTATAACAAATTGATAATTTGTTATAACAAATTGATAATTTGTTATAACAAATTAATAAAAGATACTGCTGCGGCACTAATACGCTTCCGTATTATAACTGCAGTTATTTTTAAGATGAAAATATAAACAATACGACAATCAAAGTGTGTTGTACCCCTTCATCTCCACAGAGGTCCCCGGTGTCTATAATCAAAGGTTTAAATTAATCCCTTGGACAAACTGGTCATTTGCATTAAAAAAAAATTAATAGGAAAAACAAGCAAATTAAAACATTAAAAAACAAACAAAAATCAGAAGAAAAAAAAAAGACAAAGCAAAAAGAAAAAATCCAACAAATAATTAAGCCTTGCTTTTTTTTTTTTTTTGTGTCTTTTATGGTTTATTGGAACCAATGAACTAATATTACAAATCTGTGAGCGTATCAGCTTACCTGCCATTCCTCAACTGGCGACGCTCTGTTACTAAAAATAGCATCAAGATTCACTGTATTCGATATCCGTCTGCTGAGACGTCTGGAGATTTTTGGGTGAGCAGGATCGCGAACCCAGCCACTATAAAAATTAAAAAAAAAATCATGATACGTTAAGTTTTGTATGCAATTCCTTTATTCAACTCGAACGAAACATGACTATGAAAGAAGGCATTTTAAAATAATAACTTCAAAAAGAAAAGAACTGAAGCAATCTTGAACAAAAATCAAACTTTTAACTTTTTATAGCTTTCCTAATGCAAGGGGGTGGATACAAAAGCAATGTCACAGCTGCTATAAAATCTTTAATAATCGATAGTTTTTATACTAATGTCTCTATATATTGACCTTTGACCTAAAATTTCATTCAGATATATGCAATACTTCATAAAATATTAAGATACAACTATGGCACGCCAAATTCATAAAAAATGAGCTAAACATAGTTTCACAGTTGATAAACTAGGTTTATCGACTGTAAACCATAGTTAACGACGGTAATACCTATTTCACATCTGTAAACCATAATTAACGTCTTAATCTATGTTTCATAAGTGTAAACTATACTTAATGCCGAAAACAATCATTTGCGATTGCAAAACATAGTTTATCTGATAAATACGATAATTTTACGTCATCCGACAACGAATTCACATCAAGCGAGTTTATTGGTCTGTAGAGACGACTATAAAGGGTTAGGAGGTGGATAAAATATACAGATTGGTTATAGAATATGTCTAGAATTAGGGAATGAAAGGTCGTTGATTGACCAATGCTGGAAAGTGGCGAAATACATCCCCAAAGTGCGCAGAAAATCTTGCACCGTAAATTGCACTTTATTTACATTACGGGTTCTGTAGCGTTATGGTCAAAGACTAAAATATAAAATATTTTAGGAATGACTCTAATTCTTGGCCATTCGAGTATAACCTGGTTTGGGTCAGTTTACGCTTTATAATCCGCAAAGCGGATTATAAAACAGCGTAAACTGACCCAAACCAGGTTTAACTCGAATAATTTGGCCAGGATTAGAGTCATTCTTTATAATTTAATTTTAAAATCATTAAATAACTATGGGTGTAAAATTTCGTTGCTTTTTATTAGTTCAAATTTGCCGCTCAATAATACAACCGTAGTAACGGACGTACCGGAAGTGATGGGAAGCGAGGGGAGGTAAAAACTGATACATAGGCCTAGCAGCCTTGTTGTTTGTTTACATGTGGTAAGACCGAATATTATTGTTTGAAGTTAAAGGTACATTTATTAAATCTGGAATTTTCCATGAATCCCAAGGACTGGAAATGAGAGGATTGATTCAGCTGGTTGTCGGGGGGGGGGGGGGTCCCCATACCAAACCAGGTTATACAGAAATAATTTGTGTTCCTTTTTGGATATCAACCAATCAGAGGCTAGAATACAAACAAAATTAAATTATAAAACCATAACGCTACAGTTCTGCAGCTAGAAAAAAACCTAACGTCGTGTTTTTCTTAATATTCTTAATTTTTTTTGTATATAATCGAATGAAATTTTATGGCAGAAATCAAAATAGATGGGCGTATTAGTATGTCAAATTTTGTTGATAATATCTAATTATTAACGATTTTATATCAGTCGTGACATTAGTTTTGGATCAACCCTCATACACACATGTATGTATATAAACTTAAATTGAGAATGTATCTTTCTTTAATGTAAGGAGTATTCTTACGTTTGACTGATTCGGATCCGATTGACGCCATCTGATGTTAATGATTGACTCAGCTGAAATTAACAGACAGGATTACAAGTACACATTTATTTTCTAATAAACATACAAATGACAATTTTTCAATATTCTGATGTTCATACTAATTGTTAGTCTATTATTTAAACACTCAAATTGTATACGGATTTTTCCGTTTGCCCGTTCATGGCAATGAGCACACGGTGGGTGTGAGGGGTGCTTACTCCCCATGGCACCTGATCCCACCTCTATTGTTTTTTAGAGGCCATGTGTGCTCTTCTCCTGATTTGTATTGTTTCAATGGACTTTTGAGCTTGATTACTGTTCGTTTTCTCCAAATTTCATTGTTAAAATTTAAGACATTTCCAAAAAATGGTCTGTCAGTATTTTTTTTTTTCAAAGAAAAGGGGGTCCTCTGAAAATAGAATGTCTACGATACTTCAAAAAGAGGGGAAGGGGGCTCAATATTCTTATATTCTAGAACATATGTTAATTGTGCATTGGAATCTGGGTAAAAAATATAATAAATAAAGTTATTCATGTTTAAACAAAGAGGTACACATATGGTATAAAATCTTACCCTGATACAGCTATATACATGCCAGACATTATTACTTGAGTTAAATAGAATTTCAATTTAAAATAATCTGAAAATATTTTTTTCTCTTCACCAAGTAGTCATTAAAATCATTGAAAAGAGTACTTAGTACATAACTATTTTTAGATAAATAAATAAATATGCTGTACCTATTTATTACATTTTATAGAAAGAACAGATATATTTCTTGAAGATTAGGTCGTACATATGAAATACATGTATATAAAAAGAATTGGGTTCAATACCTCATCGGAAAACCTCTAACATAACCACCCCCCACCCCCCAATTCAGTCGGGCACTGTAACAATTTATAACCCATGCACCTTAGTCTTCACCTCTATCATAACACCCCCCCTCCCCCCAAAAAATTCAGTGATCATGAGTTGGGTACGATAACAATTTATACCCCATGCACTAGGGCTGTATCAATATATCGATACGTATTGCATGATATTCAAGAATATATCGTATCGAAAAAATGACTTCCAATACGTATCGGACAAGTAGTTTTTCATATAATTCCATGAAAAAGTTGGAAATTTCAATCACCAAAGTTTGTATTTAACTGCTTTGAATTAAAATTGACCAATAATGATATAATCATTAAGGAGGTAGCACATCTTAGATAATCATTACAAAATACAGACACCTTTATTTAACATGTTGATTTTACAGTCCTTAAAAGTTTGAATTTGAAGTGTAATTTGTAATGACAGTGAGACGAGAAGTTTGATATGAGTTGTAAAACAATTAGTTTTTATAAAATTCATGCATTAAATGATTTTAAAGACTTTTTTGATAGACTTGTTAAAGAATCCAATAAATATCGCATTATAAAATATCGTATTGCATCGTATCGAAATATTTTGCTCAATACACATCCCTTCCATGCACCTTATTCTTAGTTTTCACTTTTGTGAAGCTAATGTAATTTCTAAAAACAAAGATATTATTTTCAATCAAAACAAAAATTGTAAGTATTTACTTATTCATGTAATAGAAAATTAAAGAACCTTCTTAGTAGCCTCTCTTTTAAGATAGAAAATATCGTCGCCGGAAATGACATCATGGAAAAGAGAAACCCTTGGTTCTACATTCACAACTTCTTCTTTTGAAAAGTAAAATGGGATGGCTGTCTCTCTTAGAAAACATCGCAGCTTGGACTCCTCTTTTTTAGTCTGAAATTAAACAGAATTAATAAAATATATAATCTTTTTTGTATCTTTTATATGTCTTTGAAGTTATGATCAGAACCCTAGATCGAATATTATCTTACTTGATGAGAATTGATTTATTACGTGGTCTTGCTTAATCCGGGGTTCAAGACAGACTATGAAAATACTAACCGTGGCTAACAGACTATTTACTTACTTTCAAAGAACCACGACACAGTTTCTGGAAGTCAGTGGTTGGTACCAATAGATCATTTACGTCATCTTTGGTAACATTAGTCTTTGCTGCTTTTCTCAAAATTTGAAAGTGGTGTCTGTGTCTTGGAAAATCTTTAAAAGATCATAGATTTTCATTCAAAAATTGTTTCCCCCATAAAATTTCTTATGTACTCAGAATCCTCTTAAAACAGATTTCAATTACAGTGAAATTAAAAATTGAATAGATACGTGATAGATACAGTAGTGGGTCAAAACTTTTCAAAAAGGTATATTTAACCTATTAACCCCCATCCGGGGGTTTTCTGTTAATAAGTCAGGGTTGTGCACACCGTGTGAGTGCATGAAAGAACTTCTTTGTAGAAAGCAGTGAAAATGAACATTACGGAAAATCTATTTTTTCCTTGCGAAAAAATTGAAGAGATTTTGTGTCATTATCATGAAAAGAAAATTTAATGTCTCCAATATGTATGACACAAAAAACTCCACTATCAGGGTTTAGCTATCTTCCACTACCACGGTATAGCTATTGTCATCTTCTAAATTTTGAATTTACCCCCGGTAAATTCAAGATTTAGAACACAACACTATCTTCCACTACCAGTGTTTGGCTATGTGAGACAGAGGAGACCTATAGTCATCATTACAGATTCAGTTTCTAAGAAATAAAAGATATAGTCTTATAAAAGTACTTATTGAGTTTAAATACCTGTATATGCAATCGTTGGGACTATCAACATCGATATTTTTTTCGTCAGGATCTAAAATGATAACGGCGAAAACTTTTAATGACATGGACCGATAAAGGAAGAAGATTCAATTTTTAAAAGTTTAAAATAGCAGGAGACGCATTAGAAAGATCTAAATATAGAATCTGCTGTCTTTAAACTTCAAAGTTGCAGGTTTAAGGTCCGACGACACTTTCCTCAAACATGTTAATTTGTACCTCAATGTAATACATGTACATTGTGCCCCCCCTTCCCCCCCCCCAAAAAAATATTGATATTATCTTGTGATTAAAATGTCTCAATAGATGTACATGTTATGTACCAAAAATTGTGATGCCAGCAAGTGATTTCCAGTTGGATTACATAGGAAATGCCATCATCTGGAATTTTGCATAAATGCCTGGTAATATACCTCAATTTGCTTGTGTGAGGAAACTTGTTTACAATCACAAATTCTTTGGGTATAGCATACCTGATATATAAATGAGTAGTGTGTCGTCAGACCTTTGATTATAATTATACAGAAATTATAATTCATTGCTCTACAATTAGGTTTATATACAACCTCAAAATAAGTTTTGGATATTTTTGATCGCAGTCGAGATCTAGCTGTTTCTTTTTCCGCTGTATTATAAAGCTCCAGCAGCAACATCATTTGATGGTAGTACATCCGCACTAGTCCTGCGGTGTTTGACAGAGCCTCGATTTCAGCTGCCCTCATTGGTCTGGTTCCAACAGATGCCACCTCTCCATTAAGAATGTCCTTCATGTCAAGGTCATATGTATACCACAGACGTAAAACATTGTCAGCTAAACCACTGACGTCATCTTGTACGGGCCAAAACCCTAACTTTGATACAGTGGACTGATAAAGACTTCTGAAATCTATGTACAAAAATATTTGCAAATATATAAATATTTATTAAATGATTGAATAATTCCTGTCTCTCTGATTGGCTGAGATCAAACATTTTAGAAAAAATACTACGTTATATTCACCTGCATGTGACCTTCCAGGTGAATATAAGGATTTATTTTTCTCCACATTAGACTATATATATATATATATATATATATATATATATATATATATATATATATATATATATATATATATATATATATATATATATATATATATAAAGTTTATATGATTATATAGACATTACTATAAACAATAAAATGTCTTTCTTTGTTTTATGTAATATATTGGAATTAACGAAGTGCAGCTATTGCATAAAAAAAATATAATACCCGCTTACGCGGGTTATGTATTTTACATATTTTTTCTGCAACATTAATTCCCATACTAATAACCAAAGAAAGCATTTATTTTAATTAAATAAAATTTAAGAGTTTAAAAAATCTGGTAAACATAATATATGTTTTGGGATGGTTAACTTATGTTCCAAGTTTCACTGAAATCAATCTAGAACTCTGAGTGTATGGTGTATAGTATTTTTAAAATAATTAACAGATTACAATATTTTAAATAACCATGGTAACAATTAATGTAGTTCGAAATTAACACTTGACCACAAAAATGTATCTTGATGTGATAAAGAGTGTATCAAGTTTTCAGTGAAACCTTGAAAAAAAATGTAGAAGTACCATGTTTGAAACACAAACACTCAAACAAACAGACGGATAGACAATTAGACGAACGTATGAAGAACATTTCTCTTTGCCCAGTAAAGCTAAAACATTAAAAATAGACTTTATTAAGAAATGTAAAGTTGGATGATAATATACCTGCAACGGTTGTCTGAGTGCTGATTGTTTGGTTGCTGATGAGGGAGTTCATCACATCCCCCCAGTCGTTATAGACCCTGTACACTAGATAGAAGGCTCTGATAGGGTGAGCCATATTCAGACAATCGTCAAGGCGTAAATCTTTTTTTCTTTCATTGTAAAATCTGTAAAATGAAAAATACTATATTCATCGAAGTTAACCTAAATTTCTAATAATATTATGTACACATGGACTACAGACAGATCAAAATTTAATCTCTGATCTCCACCTAAATTGAGATTTCTCGACAAATGAAATTTGGGAGCGGCAATATAAAAGCAAACTTTAAAATTATTTAGCAAAAAAACTAGCGAGAAGACATATTGATTTTTTCACCTCAATAGTTTTAATTTTACCTCATCTTGATAAATTGAATTTTCTGAGTAATTCGTCCATGTCTTTAAAAAGTTATCCGATGTTTTCTAAAGAAACTCTTTCGGTAAAATTGTTTCAAAAACGTCATTTTCCTATATATTTCTATAGTAAAGAGTAAAAATAGTACCGAAAACTATACCCGCTTTTACAGTAATATAGCATTAAAACCACGTAGTCAAATTTAATAAAAATTTCACGTAATATGCCGCAAATTCTAAGGAACATTATATCAAATTTTCAGAACATGTTTTCTCGTAAGAATTTTTATGCAGTAAACCCGCGACCTACCTTAAGTGATGCAAACTTTGTTTCATTACAGAGTATTAATAATTAAAAAATGGTTATAAGTGCCCAGAACCTGACCAAATCAACTAACCCCTCCCTTTCCTCCCGTCGACTAGTTCAAGACAAAAATTCTATATCAGAACAGTCCAGATATCTCTTTTCTTCACAATGTATACCGGTATATGTCGAACTGAACAATTTACAAATGGATTAAAGGATAAATTAACGAAAGGAAACTGAACAAGAGAAAAACCAAGTGGACTGTATAAAGTGCACAAAACAGAGTGTGATTTAAAGGAATACATGTACCGACTGTGATAAAAGGGTCCAAATTGCAGGATTCTGTCGTTATTGAAATGGGAAATTATGATGAATTTAAACTGGAATTACACAAGTGATGAAATGTAGCAGAATTTCGTTATGTTGCTTTTCCTTGCCCATGGGTAAGTCTGGAGTTGCTTTCTTCAGGTGATAAATTATTTTACCTGGTTTACCTTACCTGGTGACATTTTCAGGAATCGTCGCTTCTCTGGCCTCAGCTCTTTCAATAAAAGCCTCAAAATTCTGGAACAATTTGCTTTCCATTTCTGCTAAAGCTGTTAACCTTTGTATAGACGTGTATATTTCAGAATAAACACAAACGATAAGAAAGGCAAAGGCTAAAATTCCATAATTTGTCCTCATATTCTCAGTATACCATTAACCTTGATATAAGTTAATAGACTACCACACCATATTAGATGACCGTGACGGTACCGTTGCCCCGGGGTGGGGATACGTAATATGCGTTAATATTATTACTACCTGTACATATCCCACAAGGTTTATCTTTTCTTCAGTTACGGGATGATGGTTACTTATATCAAAAATATGAATTTTACACAAATTTCAACCACAAGAACAGTGCATGCACAATTCAAATGACTGGTGAAATTCGTTTAGAAAATTGCTAAGGTAGGCTTGCAGTCTAACGAGTCTATTCTAAAACAAAGAAACAAACAAGGAAACAAAAAACATGTACTTTTATTTACATAAATAACATAAAGATTGAAATAAGATTGAATATTGAATTTTCCTTTCTTGTCTAATAAAATAATGGCAGGTTTTAAAATATGTTTTTATCTCTTTTTTGGTTGGAAACGAACACTTAGCCCCGGGCAAAGCTGTGTATACATGTCTAGAAACACGGAACTTGTGTGGATTTCTTCCTTGTTTCTTGCTAGTATATTAATGGAGTTAAACCCCCGATCAGCTGATATCAGACAGTAAATCTTGAACATGCTTTTTTATAGTGTTTCTATTGTGTTAAGGTTAACAGCATAACGACCTTTCTCAATATTTGTAATATTATTCGGACAATCTGCTATTCAGCCATAAACGTTGCATTATGTCTTTTTAAAATTAATCAAAATCAGATTTAATACATGGATAGGCAAAACATAAATTTAACAGACAAGAAATTGCTATGAGAGAAAGGTCATTACCATAAGACAGGTGGGGGAGTAAAAATATAATAATGCAATATTCCCAATCTGACACGGTGTCAAAAAAGTGGAGAGAGTAAGGGAGTCTTTAAAACGACACTCTTTAAATAAAAAATGAATTCTTATAAACAATATATATACAATAATCCAAGAAAACCTAAGAAATTCTGAAACTTTTTTGGAAAGTTTCAAACATGAGCATATCTAAAAGTTTTCTAGGTAATGGAAGTCGTCTCAGTGAATTAAATGGCAAGTGGTTGTGCGCAAAGTGCATGCGCAACACGTGGAGACATCGCTGTAGAAGAGGCTGCGGATGTCTTTGCAGTGACGTCACAATACTTCGCAGATGCTTGTCCTCGATGAAGGCTGCAGGATGATCAGCGTCATCGAAAAAAGTATCACACTCATCAGAATCATCTGATTCAGTTTCGCTGTCTTCACTCTCTACCTCGGGAAAACATTGAAACTTATTGGGTATAACACAACCTGCCTCAATCAGAAAATACGTCATATCTAAATGGTCTTCGTCAAAATATTCCAAACACATTTCTAAAGGGCTCAGTCCATCAACAGTTGTTATGTTGATGTCACTCCCGTTTCGCAAAAGTTTCAATAAAATGTCTTTGTTTGCAAATTTGACACAGTGATGAATTGCACAGTAGCCATCAGAGTTCATTTTATTCGCGTCTACTCCATGCTGTAATAGAGCTACAGCAAGATGAATATTGTTTTTCATAATTGCATTGATAAGAGATTCTTGCAGGCTTGATTCGCTGGGATTATCTTTGGAAATAACGGCTTCAACAAACTCTTCTACTTCTGGATGATACATGTCGCCAAGTGCTATCAATAAGTTTTCCTCTGATTCTGAATTACTGACGTCATCTTGGGCATCCAATACCCCGCATCCGTTGATGAGAAAACGTGCAGTTTCAATAGCATTGTGTGAAAAGGCAATGGAAAGAAGAATCTTTTTGCTGACATGTCCAATTTCATCGTTTCTTACGTCCATTTTTGCACCATGGGAGAGTAGAATTTCAAGGGCTTCAACATTATTTAAACGACATGCGAGCATGACAGGCGTCTCAACGTAGGAGTATACAGTGGCTGACGACATCAATTTACCACAAGCATTCGGGTTAGCCCCAGCTTGTAACAACCATGAAACAGTAGAGCCATCAATCTGACCGACATGGGAGGACATGGCGTACATAGCTGCCATAAGAGGAGATTCCGTTAGGTTATCGTCGGTTTCATTGGGTGAAGCACCGTACCTTAGCAAGTATTTGGACATCATGTTGTAACCATTTGTAATCGCAAAATGTAAAGGAGTGCTGGTGCTTTGGCCAGCTTTTGTCGTTTTATTTAGAACTTGGCTCACATACTCCTTATCCGTTTTGGAAGAAAAGGGATAATTAGAAAATACCGTCGATATTGTGTCTGATTCATCAACCCAATTTTGCAATAAAATTTTCATAGCCCTGATATCCCCTTTACTGGCAATCAGATGCATCGGATATTTTCCATTCGAGTCATTCTTCAATAAATCACAGCCACCTTTTACTAACATTTTCATCACTTCGTAATTCCGATCACATATTGCAATATGTAACGCCGTATTGTCAACATGATCAGTCACATTAAGATCCGCTCCAGCCTCTATAAACCACTTGATGACATTTTGGTGGTTGTTTTTGACAGCAAGAGCTAGTGGCGATATATTAGTAAGTGGGTCGTATTTATTGAGGTTACATTTGGGATGCTGTGTTAGTTTATGTACCACGTCGAAGCATTTCTTGCTGATCGCTAGGAAAATTGGTGGTTCTTTATCATAATCTTCCACATTAACTCCACATCCTGCTTCGATAAGGAATTGTGCGATGCTACTTTGATTTGCCGACAGAGCAGCACACAATGCTGTTCCACGCATGCCCAGTAAGAAATCCATTGCTGCACCTTCTTTAACCAGTTTCTGAACTTGGAGAAGATCTCCACTTACAATTGCACGATTTAGATTTTCTGCAAGTGCCATCTCCTATTCATAAAAGAAAATAGAAACAAGAATATCAACAGTCTCGTTTAAAGTCATCATTTCGTACGTTCTATGGTCGATTCAATGACCTTGTCAGCAAATACCGCCTATCATTAAGTCAAATATGCTGACTGACGTTTTTCATACTAATTGTTGGGCCATTTTTCCCGTTATTTCCCGATCATGACAAGGAGTACATGGTAGGGCTGGGACGATACAACTTTTTCTATATCGATACGTATCCCGATATTTGAGCCACGATACGATATGTATCACGATATGTTTAATTGGTTATAAATTCTTTTTTTATATTGAAATGAACAAAACATTTCTTCACAAATAAGAATAATTTATTCAAAGAAGTTGCATATCTGTTGTAAAACTTAATTATTTTGCACAAGTGGTCTTAATTATTATGTATTTCATATTTATATTTATATTAAGCATATTTATTTTATATATTAAACCCAAAATGTTAAGTAAACAAAGAAAAACACAAGTCAGAATTTTTTGGGCGATATGTCGATATTTCTTCATACGTATCGATATGCGTATCATCCTCACATTGAATCGAAATTATCGATATCTCGATATATCGTCCCAGCCCTAGTACATGGCGGGTGTGACCTGTCAGCAGGGGATGCCCACTCCTCCATATGGCACCTGATCCCACCTCTAACATGTCTAATGTTTTTGTGGTCCATGTTTGCTCTGCTCCTGATTTTGTATTGTTTGAAAGGACTTTTGAGCTTGAATACTGTTTGTCATCTTCATATATTTCATCGACTTATTTGCTGGTTTTCAAAACCTGAGGAACGGACTACCTCAGTTATCACGGGGAAGGGAACGGACACCGATCTAATTAAAATTGACCTTTCATCTTGCGCTTTGTAAATCTATTTGTCGCCATTACATGAGCAACATATAGATTTACGAAGAGCGAGATGAAATAATAATTTTAATTAGATTGAACAGACACACGTATAAGAGTGCAACGATAAACCGTTTGACGGTATATCGCGGTATATTTTTCCACGGTTCAATTCACGATACGCTAAACTGATATCGCGGTTCGGTTCAATCGGTCCAGAATTATCCGAATGCTCCGTTTTCTTTCCTAGTTTACAATTTCAGAATGGCTTCCGCGCAAAAACATGAGGTAGACGATAACGCAGTAACGACAATTAAACTCATCTCCAGCATTTACAGAACTCAGATTTAACAGGGTGAAGGACTTTATCTCATTTCTAATGTGATTAAAAGTTATAGATGTTAATACAAGTGATAAACCCCTTTAGATCTAAAATTATTCTATGGAAATATACTATATCTCATCACGCGTGTATTTCCAACTTGTTGACTAGAAGGTGATAACACGAGAAATATGACAATTAACTGGTTTTCTACGTTAATAAAAGGAATAAAAAATGAATGTCTTCCTTTTGAATCCATGCTACCGTAGTTCAATGTAAATGTTCTTCATTGGTTTAGAATATTGTCACAACTCAAACATATACCTATCAATACAAATAAAGTTAACAAATTGATATTCAAATTATCAAAAAATATGAACATTTGATATAACCCTGTCGAGTTTTAAAAAATATGATGACAAACTTGAAAGAATTCTTTACCTTGTCATGTATCGTAATACGTATTGTATCGTGAACTGAATACCGTGATACGTATCGTATCGTGAGGTTAGTGTATCGTTGCACCCCTACACACGTACATGTAGCCCGATTCCTCTCCACCAAATATCCTAGATCCGCCCCTGTATAAATTACGAAAACGTACACTACCAATAAGTCATTTGGGAAAACTTACACTTCTTTTTAGGCGTTTGCATAAGTTGCATCTGTACTCGGCCCTCTACACTCTTGGGTTGGAAGCATTTTCAAATACTCATTATCATGCAAAATGTCTTGGCCGCGTTGTTAAAGACGCCGACGCCATCTGAATCGCTACAATGTTTAATCCGAAATGTAATCTACGACGCTGCGTTTATGCCATAAAAATTTAATAATCTTATTAATCAAAGCAGAAAGCTCCAGCTATTTATATTTATATATGACCTTTTTTTTTTTTATTTTTGCTTGTTGCTTGTCAGGGAATAGATAGTTTTCAGTAGGCCCAAATTAGCAAGAGTTATTTCCCTTTGACCGCCATATTGGAGGTCAACATGCTCATATTCCTTCATTATTCAACCAACTTTAACTTTATATACTGGCCATTGTGGGGTAGGCAGCATTGTTTTTCTAAAAAATATACATTTGGTAAAGCCTCCTTTTTTCATAATTTTTATTCCATAAAGATTTTCCTCCAAATATTTCTGCTACACCCTCTTAAATTTGGTAAGACAAAGAGGAAAAATTACCAGGTTGACCACCAAAATGGCGGCCAAGGGAAATAACTCGAAGAGAAAATATGTCATATGAAAACTATCTATTTTGGTAGTTGATAGTGCCCCCTCAACTGAAAATGTATGGTTGTGCCCCCTCAAAGTGAAATTGCTTCCTACGGGCCTGCGCAATATCTGAATTCTTTTTCTTTCGTGTCAGAATTAATTATTTGCAAACTTTCAAGCATATTTTTTTAAAACCCGATGGAAATTATCCGTGCTGTATTTCTTCATGTACGTCGTCCGTCTTTCTGCCCGTAAACAATTCTTCAAAACGGCACTCCTCCTACAGTCTTGGTCCAATTTCAATACATAGACTATGAAATATAACGTTGTGGAGATAAAGAACAGTATTCAAGCTCAAAATACAAATCAGGAGCAGACTGAGAGCAGACGCAGACCTTTAAAACATCAGAGGTGGGACCAGGTGCCATTGAAGAGTGAGAATCCCCTACCAACAGGTCACACCCGCCGTGTGCTCCTTGACATGATTGGGAAATTTCGAAAAAATCTATAGACAATTCAGTGTGTAAATAATGGTCTAACAATTAGAATGAAAAAATGTGAGTCAGCATTTGACTTAATGATAGATTGTATATGCTGACAAGGTCATTGTATCGACCATAGAATGATGACTTTAAACTAGACTATTGATATTCTTGTTTCATCAATATGTTTGTCAATAACTTACCTCGTTTTAGAAATTATTCATACATGTAGCATGCTCTTGCATATCGAATCAACTGAGAGATATAAACCCGGTATGCAGGTGATAATGGTATATTGCTGCATAATTAAGAAAAGTTGACGATTGAAAAGTTAACGTCATCACGTTTATCATAAAGCTTTGCTGTTACCGGTAGGTTACCATTAACGTCTTTTTCTAGTAAAATATCCAAATATAAAACAGATGTGTCAGACTCTGTGGTATCTTTTATTTCAAGCTCACTGGGATATATCGTGTTGACATATGAATGTAAATAACTATCGTTGATTGATAATACGTCGTCGATATATCTAAATGTTGAGTTGAAGGCCCCAGCAAGTGTTTTTTTTTTCTTCTCATGTAGAAGATTTTGAATAATTTCTGCTTGATATGAATACAGTAATAGGTCTGCTATTAATGGGGCGCAATTGGTACCCATGGCAATTCCAACAGATTGTTAGAAGACCTGGTCTCCAAAAACCACATAGATATTGTCAGTCAGAAACGAACATCTTTTTAATATCAACTTCAAAGTACATGTACTTGTGAGTGCAATCAGAATGTTTTTTAACAAAATAATTTTGCAAATGACAAGGTTAAGAAAATTTACGAGTTCCATTCTTATTGAAAAAAGCAGCTGTCAATGATGTCAAAAAGCCTGGACTTTCATTTATCGTGGGGAATGTTGTATATAGAGTTGAAAATCGTAAGTTTGATGTTATTAATTTTGGTAAAATTTTGTGATTTCAAATTTTTCAAAAGTTCCCTGGAATTTTTAAGAATCCACATCTGATTTACACCACTTCTCGAATATATTGTTGCGCAGTACTCCTGAAGTTTCTCCTTCACTGCTGTTAATATTTCAGTGAGGGGTAAAGAGGTAAAGAAAGAAGCTTGGTAGAACATTTACTGGAACCCGCTATGTATCTTTGTTTGTAAGGATATTTATGAAGTTTCGGAATCTAAAAATCCAATATAGATATGGTAATTCAAATTCATTTTGGTTGTTGACTTAATGCAAGATTTTAACATACATCTGATACACTTAATCTATTCTGACAAAGTGTCAAGGTCTTCGTTTTCATGTCTGGCCCATCGGCTGGCGTATAATCTTCCAAAAAATTATAATATTTATGAAATTATGACGCCAGTTGAAAGATCGGGGTTCCCTAAATTTTGGCCCTTTTAAAATAAGTGATTTAAGGTCCTAATTATTAACTATATTTACGTCACCAGTAATAACTATATACTAAGAGACACAATTTTATATAATGGGTTTTGTTTCCTTGAACGGTATTACCATAGTAACCAAAAATCAAAATTTCTGTGACATTTTAAAACACTACTCTTCCTGCAAATTTAGTCCAATTTCAGTAAGACCTGGCAGACTTTAATAACTTACAAAATTATAATTATCATTTTTCGATTTCGATGATTGATTTTGCCATGGTAACTAAAAACAGAAATTTTTGTGAGTTTCTTTTCAAATCCCAACTCCTCCTACACATTTGGTCTGATTTCAGTGAGACTTAATGGTACTAATGTAGACTGCCCTAAAATACACAATTTAATGCATCTGATTTGATTTCTATGAACGGCGTTACCATGATTACTACAAATAGAAATTTTTGTGAGATTCTTTCAAAATGCTACTCCTCCTACTGTTTTGGTCCAATTTCAATAAGACTTGCTATAAAAATAGACTGTCCTAAGAAACATTATTTTATGTATGTTTTTTTTTTATTTCTATGACTGGCGTTCCCATGGTAACTAAAAATATAAAATTCGCTGAAATTCAATTAGTCTGATTTCAATAAAATAACTTGGTTAACAAGTAGATTACTCTAAATGACATAGTTCTATTGATAAAGTTTTGATTTAGGTGAGCACTGT